GAGCTAATATATACATTTAAATTTAAATTGGTCAATCATAATTTGTAAGCCATTTTATTTAAACGAATTAAGTTAAAAAGGCGTAAAGTATATCAAAATACCTTTTAAACGAGTTATAACACATGTCTGTACCTTTAGTAGTGTTGAACTTACAAACTAACGAAATTTAGCTATTTTTAGCTTTTTTCCCGCTAAAGTAGCGGCTTTTTCCAAAAGTCGTAGAACAAAAGATTCCTATACGGAACTCTTAAGTGCAAATTTACTGATTCCATGACCCTAAAATACAGTTCGTATACCCTCACACAAAATTCAATACTCAGGAAGCTTTAGTTGTTCGAGCTGGCCAAAGTGGCTATTTTCGTATAAAAATAACTTTTAAACGTGACTTTTTACAGTAATGTGTTATATACCAAAATTTAAGGAATCTCAAGGGCTATACAGTTTAAAGTTGTAAAGAAAATCGTTAGAGCCGTTTTTGAGAAAATTAAAAAAAAGCTAAAAAGAAAGTTTAAAAAAAATGTCTTTTGTTCATATCTTTTTAACTATTACATTTACACAAATGGCGTTTATAGCATTTAAAAATACCTTTCAAACGAGATGCAGCACAAGTCTGTAGCTTTAGTAGTATAGAAGTTACGGAATTCCGAATTTTAGCTATTTATAGCTGTTTTCCCGCTAAACTAGCGAGTTTTTCCAAAAGTGGTAGAACAAAATTTTGTTATATCGATGTGATGAACGTCATATCAAATTTTCAAAACTTAAAAAACATGTTTTGGACAAACTGACAAACTGACAAACTGACAAACAGAATTAAATTTTCATTTTGGGAAGACGAAGAAAATCTTATTTTGGCTATAACTTTTGAACGGAGCGTCGGATTTTGACAAATGACCCCTCATTCGACGGGTATTTTCAAAAGGAATACAACTAAAATATTGCGAGGGGGCAATTATCCCCACCGGCCCCAACAGCTCCAAATTTCGAAATTTTCACTTTTTCACTTTCACCGCTCTCTCTCCCAAGCCAATTGATTTTCTTAGAGTCTTGGTATGCAATCCTGTTAGTTTTCGCAATACCTTTCGATAGGTGTATCATTCATTATGATCGGACCATCACAGTCGATTTTCATTTCTTCGTGTATATATAGTAGTCGCCTTCGCACACTCTCCTGGTGCGCTTCGTCACTACATGGACTGCCGTCCATAGTGATACAATACAATATAAATATAAAGATAGAGATACCAGATTTGCATCGGTTTTTGGTTATGTTTCCGTCTCCTTAAAAGAGTGAGACGGAGCACTTATTTCGCCGAACTTTCGGGAAATGCCGTCTGTACTTGACAGTTTTTTAAAAAGACTTGCCTTTTGGGAAAATCAAAAGAAATTTTTGTAATTTCGTAAACCGTTATTTATGGAAAGAAATTAAGTTAAGCTTCTCTAATTCCGATAAAATTGTCTTGCCATACTTTTTATACTTCGATGACTTCGAGGTTAACAATCCATTGGGCCCACATTGTGCCCCTATTCAAGGGGTTTATTTGTTCTTCCCAACTGCTCCCAATGAATTAAATAATATCTTTTGTGCTGCATTATTTAAGACATTTAATATTAAGTTATTAGGTTATTCTAAGTGCCTTTTTAAATTTATAAAGCTTCTACAAGAACTTGAAAATGACGAAGTGGATGTCAAAATAAATGGGAGGCACCATAAAATAGTTTTTGTCTTAGGACTAATTTTAGGCGACAATATGGGGCTGAATAGCGTTTTGGGATTCACAACCTCGTTCTCAAACAGTTTTTTTTGCAGGTTTTGTAAGCTTTCAAAATCAAAAACTGCATTAGCATACAATGTTAAATTTAAATATTTGCGAAATGAAGTGAATTATAGAGAAGATATTGAACAGAGTGACCCAAAATTAACAGGAATAAAGTCCGATTGTGCTTTTAATAAACTTCAACATTTTTCAGCAGTAAAAAACTTTTCTGTCGACATACTTCACGATGTATTCGAAGGCATTATACGCTACGATATTCCGCATATTATTATGCATTACATTGGTACTAAAATATTTGATCTAGAAACATTAAATTTACGAAAAACCAATTTTCAATACGGTACGGCTGAAATCGGAAATATTTTTCCCCCGTTGCAGTTGAATCATTTAAAAAAATTTAATATTAAAGCAACAGCCCGTGAGCTTCTCACATTTGTAACTTATTTTCCATTAAGATACGGTTTGGAAATTTGTGAAAAATTTACTAAAGTTAATCGATATAATTACCTACTCTGAGTATACTATCAATGATTTAAATTCTTTAAAAGAAATCATAACATACCATAATAAGGAATACCCTATTTTATTTAATGATTCTTTAAAGCCAAAGCATCATTTTTGATTACATTTTTATGATATAATACAACAGTCAGGACCCCCTTAAGTATTTGTGGACTTTTCCTTTTGAAACCAAACACAAAAGGCTAAAAACATACGCAAAAAAACAAGACTTCTTGAAGAAACATTATTGTGCCCTTGGCAAAAGTGTCCATTCGCATCTAGGACACGAAATCCTAATGGGCACATCAAGACTTGCCGAGGAGTGACGAACTACGTTCCTGACGCAGAGCACATGATCTTACGGGAGCACTGGCAGCGGCTAAATGAAGGGCAGGGCAGGTCCGCAGGGCTAGGTCCCCATCTCCCATTACTGTGCGGGACTTTAGCCAGTTCTAGTGGTAAGTAAATTTTAAAAATTTTAAAAAAATTGTAAAATTCAATAGGTTTTTTTAACGCGGGATGGAACACAGTCGGTTAGGCCTCAAGGGGACACGACTTAAAAAAACGCGCCTAGTGGTTGACCTCCAAGGTGGTGAGAGTAAGAAAATATTTAGAGGCACCATTTGCTCTGCCCGAACCTCTGCCCAAGCTCTGCTGAGAGCCAATTCAAGGCCAAGTTCGAAGCGAACTTCAATTTCTCACCGCATCCACCATGTGCGAAGCAACAGCAACAGTGGTGAGAGTGCACATACAAAAACAAAACAGGGAGTGAGTGCGGTGCAAATATATAAAATCCCGTTGAACTCACCATGGGCCCAAAATGCATGTTTGAATCGAACATATTAAAAATTAGGAAAATTTTCGTTTTTTGCCTAGGTGGCATTATTGGCGAACTCGTCGAAGAGTGGCAGAGCAAATGGCGTTTCTATACATAATTACTCTATGCCTTATTTGAATTTCCTTTAATTGAGCATGGGTGGAGGAAATGGCAAATGGCAGCCCAATAAAGACACGTTTTAGAACGTGATGAAATAGGTGTGCGCCAGTGTGATCCGTGGTGCTTAACTCCGAGCTCGGATTAAATTGATTCATTGGTGGCCCGCCGCATCCTCTGCCACCGCCCCCGACGCCCCTTGCTCTGCCGCCGACCCCCTTAACCACCGTCCATCACCAACACCATCATCATCACCACCACCTCCGATTTTCAACGGATCGGAAGATCTTTTCCCTGTTGAAGACGGCGACATGGACGTTGAAGTCCATGGGGACATCCAACTCCCCATGGACTTCAACGTCCCTTCCGGGAGCGGTGGCACCGATGTCGCCGTCAAAACATTCCAATTTCATTACTACCTCATGAGAAAGACGGAATATTGCCTGAATTGCTTCAAGACGTATAAACCGTCCTCTCCACTTAAAAGCCGATATGTTGGTATGCCGGGCAGAAGAAAATATTGTCTGCCCGAGGATGGATAAAACCCCGGTACCGAATCATAGCTGTTCCAAACTGTTTAACATAAATTTTGATTGGGCGGTACAGAATAGAATGGAAAGAAGAAAAATTTGATCACTTTTCTTGTTGAGGAAATGGCAGACGGTACGACGAAGTGGAGCTGCCCTGGACAAGCTCCACGGCGTCCGCCCAATAAAGACACGTTTTATTACGAGATGAAAATGGGTCCGCGTCAGTGTGAACTCTGTTTCGGTACGACCAGAAATGTGACATATCACAGGAATCGGTGTTTTGCGATGCCTTTCAATCACTTTTGTGATGGCTGCCCGAGGCGGTCCTACGGAAAGCTTCCCGAGCATGAATGCGGGATGTACTCCATGGACATGGAAACGGCGAGTGCTAAGTCGTGTATTCGTGTACTAAACACGATGGTTCCTCACGTGTGAGGGTGTTTGAAGTCACACCGAACGGTTATTCACTCTTGCCTCTGAAAGAGAATGACTACCTTGTTATGGGCCATCATACTTTTCCCTAAATATTGCCCCATGGGGCAGTAGTGCAGGATTTATGCACAATTTATACAACTTCATGCTGAATTTTTGTTTTAAGAGCGCTTTAGATGTTGTTGCTTGAGCCTCACAATGAGATCTAACATGAAAAATAACAGACATCTATCGAAAATAACAGCTGTTAAAGTTATATCGAACATCTATACAAAGTGCCGAAACGATGTTTGATATCGGTATTTTCAAAAATAAAAGGGGGATTCCCTAAACTGTTGAATTGCTGAATTGTTGAAAATTCAACAAAAAATTTCAGCAATTAAGGGAACGACCCAAAATGGTTCCTGTTGAATTTTCAAACAGCTGTTATTTGTTGAACGGTTTTACGGAACTTAACGCATGTAAAATTTGATTTATAATTGCTAGTTACTGTCTAAAAGTGTAACCAAGGTGCAAAGAACCACAAATATGTTTTCTAAGTTGATTTTAAAATAAATAATGCGTACTGGTGATACTAAAATGTTACAGAGTTGTCACGACTTTTAAAAAAAGGTGACAACTCTGGCTTTTCAGCAATTCAACAAAATTTGCTGAAATTTCTGAAAGTTGACTTTGAACAGTTAATTAACAGCTGACCAAAATTCAACAATTCAGCAATTCAACAGTTTAGGGAATCCCCCTAACGATTATTGGCCACACAAACAGCTTAACATATTTTTGGTATATTTTGTACTCTTGGTATTTAGGAAATAATTATTCTGCGGTCATACTGCTGAAGTCGGCGTCGCGCGCGTACTATTTTTTGCTATTCGCTGCTCAATTTTCTGCTCTCGAAGGAATAAACAAACGAAACGGAACCCGTGGAAAAGCCAATAAGTGTAGTGGATAGCAATCAAAGAGCGCGACGTCGCGGCTGTCATTATACGGCAATTAATCGAATTAAAATGCCTCAGTTGGCTATCGAAGTGAGTTGAAGGTACGGGTTACGTGGGGCGGGGTAAAACTATAAATAACAATATGCATTGCTTTTTCGGCTTTGCGTCGCTATCTTTAAGTTTGTCCATTTGTCGCCCAAAATCATCCAAGATCCAAGTGGCAAGTGCAGTTCGCGTTCTTTTTTCGGACTGATTACGAAACTACGCCAGAAGTGGGTGGTGAGTGGGCCATGGGCGGTGGGCTGTGGGCTGTGGGCTGTGGGCGGTACGCTTTGCATACAATGAGCTTAGAACCTCAACGAAAGCAAATTGCGTGAGTGCCTGTGTATCTGTGTTTATGTTCGGCTTCCCATTTTCGCTTTTCGTGTTCAATGCTATCGATTTGTTTCCCCTGCCGGCGGAGCCAATATACATATATGTCTCGGAATGTGAATCATCAGGGGGTGGTGGTCAATAAAGTTCACTTAGCACTTCCTTTCGGCGTTAGATCAGGTGATAAGCGGTTCGATAAGGAGATACTCACAGAGACCCAGCAACGCCTCTCGACATTCAAGTGCCAGCTGCTGTTGGTCTACACAGGGAAAAAAGATTTAGAGGTTCAAAATATATATTGTTTATTGTATTGTAATATTACTATTTAGAAAAATTATTATCTTAACGCTTTCCATAATATTATCAAAAATATTACAAAGTCGGGGTTATTGTGAGGAATAAAATTATATTCTTTTTTTTTCTGATCTGGAAAGATCAAATTAATTAAAAAAGTTTTGTAGAGCTACGTTGCCAAAAAAAATTGATAATAATACATATAATATATGGATTTATATAAATAACAGAACTCAAATTCATGTATTTTTTTCGGTGCAATTGTTTTTTTCCTGGACTTGTCCAACAGGATATGTGCGACAGATGTTTTCGCCTGCGTTACAGAGATGCTGAAATGCTGAATTTCAAGGTTCTCCCCCTCGCTTCCAATTGCCTTTTGTTCATACTATTCCTTGGATTTAAGTACAGCCACTCGAACCAGAAATTGGGTAAGTGGCTCGGTTCTAGGCTCGATTCTCCGACTCGATGGATGCTCACCAAGTGACCCACTTTGGTGGCTTACATGTGGTGTGGATCGCATGTACATATAAGCACCTCATGGAACAAATACAAAACATGAGAATAGGAGATGAAAGAAGAAACCCCAGCTTGGCCTTCCTTCGCAATGTTTTTGTTTTAAGGTACCCTATAAGTGGGTAATATAATTGCGACCCGAAGTTTGCTAGGCTGCGAAGAAAAAATCCCGGGGCCTGTAAATTACATCTGAACAGCATATTTGCCCATTTAACACAGAAATAATCTTCTTTTCCGCTCATTTATCTACCTGTTTTTTTCTGGAAAACAAATCTCTAAATCTAGATGCCATCTGTTTGAAATTATGCACAGAACCTTTATTCTGTTTTGTGTTGTATATACAATTTCGGAATAGCCGGATACAGATGACTATATCATTTGGCTGCCATAAAAAATGTATGTATATCTCGTTTTTATGGCAGTCTGTTTGTTAAGGATGTGTTAAAAAAAAATGTTAGGAAAGGACTAAATTATTTATCACACGTAAATACACAAAGTATCTTCTAGTGAAATCATCCAACATCACTAAAGATCTATAAATTTCGATCTAACTTATTGTTCTCTTTTCATCCTACTATATAGTTAGTTATGACTCCTAGGGTACTTCCGTCTTCGATCTTCAAAGCTGACTTTCCCGCTTTGTTGCTGCTTAGGCACTTTTCCATTTGTAGTTTCTCTCTTGTTTTTAACCAGCGTAATTGCCTGTATTTATTCTGGCATGCATATGTAAGCAAATATGTAGTTAGACGATTGCCTGATAACGCCCCTCGGTTTTCAATGGGAGATTAGCCAAATGTTTTCCCACTCATACAGAGAACCTTAAGTCGAAGGTTGATCGCATTAAATGCTAAATATTTAATTTTAATCGCAACCTTTTGAGGCGGTTATTGAACTTGACGGCAGAAAATGGAAAATGCGAAGATCATTGGCGACAGCCATTCGGCGCTGACCTTGTGTAACGATAATTTCTGTAAATATACTTTTCGCCACATTTTCTGAACGTCGAAGAAAGCTGCTCCAGAGATCTTTAACCCGCCTTTCTAGAACTGAGGGTCAGTGCGAGTCAGCGAAAAGGTTGAATTGCAAATTTTCTTGATGGCCAGTCACTTGTCATCACTGCGAATTCCAGAGCGACCCACAAGAAAACGAATTTATCAATGGAAAACGCCAACACAAAAAGAAACGAGAAAATAGCGCCGAGTTTCTTTGAGATTATGTGGAAATGTTCGGGTATGTATTGTATTTTATTTAAATACAATTGCAGGCCTGATAAACAAAAAACCGAGCAACAGAATCGCGGGGCAAATGTGATTTCCTCGAAGTATACAGCTGTGTTGTTTGTTTTCTTTCAAGAAATTTATGTAAAAACAATAAACACACTGTACTGTTCGGGAGGGGAGTATCTCCAGTGGGCGGCATTTCGCCCCCTCACACATATTTCGCCATATCCCTGACCACGAAAACAACTGTATTCATTCGCCCATCAAAAGTTTACATACTCGCATTAAAGGAGCGCGCTGTCTGGCGCGAATTTATTTACATATGCCATGGATTAAATTGTACCCAGTGGGCAGAACTTTATGTGCCCTCACATGAGGCGAGTTAATTGTTTGGCTTTAATTGCATTTGATTCCTCCATAAAAACGCCGCCCAACCAAAAGGAATTCTAGAAGAAAAATGGCACAAATTGGCGAAGATATGTATATGTACAAGTATATAGATATTTAAAAGAGAGGAGTGATGGAATTGGAATAATTCAGATAGTCAATAAAGTCCATTTGCTCAAAATCTTGGGGCAGTCGTCTGGCATTTTTGGACTATAATATGAGTTTCCTTCTGCCTTGTCTACATCTTGTTTCTGATTTTGTTGTCTTTCCGACAGATTTGTTTTCATTTCATCTATATATCTCGCATATATGTCTTTCGCTGTATATTTTTGTAAATGCGCTGCAATTGAATTGGGTTATGAGATAAATAAAATCCCAACCGAACGATACGGGTTTCGCACGATTAGAATGGAATTTATCTGTCCGAAAACCGAATTAAAACAATAGGTATAATTTTTTACTGATCCCTCCCTCTTCCGTCTTAGGATATTATCTTCTGGGTTTCGCCCACACTGCTCTCGAGATATTTGTGCTGCCATTTCTGAGTCGGATAATTCAATTTTATTCAACGGAAAAGCGGAAAATAATCGATGGAAACCGCAGAAAGAGCCCCAGATCCCAATGACAATGTGTGGACGTCATTGCGTTTGATCAGCTTTTGCTTTTAAATGATTATAACTTAATTGAAATTAATTAGACGGGGTCAGCGCAGTCAGTCTTAGAGGAATTTTATGGATATATGCAGTGGTGGCCATGATATATTGATAGTGGTTAGTTGCTTTTATTCTACATATATAAATACATGCAGTGTTGGAAACTATATGGATAGTGGTTACTGCGTAGTTGTTGTGTTCGGATAAAACCTTCTTTGTGTCTTTCTTCCATTAATCAGTTATAATTATGATGAAATTCGAATTTATCATCAACTGAAACTTAAAATATTTCATCACACCATTTGTTTTCATAATCTACTATTATTATTTTTTCCTTACAAAGATGTGCTAAGACCTTACTTACACTTATTACCTTTTACCCTATATTATAACTAGATGCATAAGGTTTTGAGTTATTTTTCTCCAAAGGGGAAAATGCCGGAAATTAATGAGCTGTTTTAATTTCCTTTTCTATGCCGTTGTTGATGGGTTCATTGAACTGGGTCGAACACCAATTTGGTTTCTGACCGGGTGACTTGTTTTCCAACGAAACTTTCCGCTGACCGTTGCAGCCCGAGACTTTTTATCAGCGGCTTGCACCCCCGAAAAGTCATTTGACCACTCGAGAGCTACCATAAAAGAGCAGGGAATGGTTTCCTCGCACCGCTCGTGACTCACATGGCCCGCTCCATTGGAAATCGAGCAGCGAAGCGTGCCAGAAGCTCCGCTCCGGCTTGCCACTAGTTTTTTCTCTGTTTTTTGTTTTTTAACTTTTTTTTTACTACCGTTCGTGCAACACAAAAGCCACAATGCAGAACTGAGGAAAACAAACTCGGTTTCAGTCAACAAACAGTCTTTGCCCAGTGCGCGGAACACCGAAAGCCAAAACTTTATCACGAAGTTAACTCGAGTCTCGTTCATTGCAGTTTTGAAGTGCTGGTCGAAGTACACAGACAGCCGGAGTTGGCTGCCATGATGCGATACTCGGAAATCTCACGAGACCTGTCCACGGATAATCTGCGCTACTCAGAGGTGACTATACTCGCGCATCTCACTCAAGTTTACACTGATATTGACCTATGATTTCTTGTATTTTCAGTTAAGCAGAAAACCCACCACGGACTATAATGGATATACGGGACAGGCTTTTGCCTCGTCTCAGTTCAAGCAGAGCTCACCTCCTCCTCCGCAGCAACAGCAGCCAACTCGCCCGGGCAAACAACGGAGTCCGAGTGCCAATGGAAATGCCCACACCATGGCTTGTCTACGCAAGGAAAAGACCCAAAAGGAACACCAGATGGAACCGCCCAATATGCAACCGCAGGCCAGCAAAACCCTGAATATAAAGAGCACGCGGCGCAAGAACTCCATCGGTTGTTTAAATAGTTTCTCCTCCTCGCCAGACTCACCGGGCTGCTACTATACAATAGCGTAAGTTTTCGCAATTAAAAAAATATATTCTAGGAACCAAAAATGTTAAGATTTTCGAATTTTAAAAGTACGATTTTTTTGTTAAACTATAAAATTTGTTTCTGTTCAGCCAATCAGATTAATTTGTTAATTAATATATTCATTTTTGTAATATATTTTGTTCATTCAAAGTATCTCACAATGGGCGTTGAGAAATCTTTTCAGTCTTACCTATAATTAAAAGCAATCATACAAGCAAATACCCACATAGATACATTTAAATGCTCTGCTTAGCACACTTCTAATTAAAATTAACTTTTGTTAATTAGAGCTTCGGCAGCACCGCCGTCCAAGTCGCAAAGTTTACCAGCCCACGGCTCCATCAAGCAGTTGGATGCGGTTATCTTGAGCGCGTTACGTGTACCCGCCGATGTGTTGGCCAATCAGATTACACTCCTGGATTTTCCCGTCTTCGCCCAGATCCAGCCGGACGAGCTGAGCAGTTGTGCTTGGACGAAAAAGGACAAACATGTCAATACCCCGAATATTGTGGCATTTACCAAACGATTCAACCACACGAGTTTTTGGACAGTGCAGGAGATATTGAATGCCGAGCAGCCGAAGCAGAGAGCCGAGATAATGACTCACTTTATAAAGGTGAGAAAATTAGCCCACTGTGATTAATTACTTGGTTAAATGTACCGATTTCTTTTGTAGGTGGCCAAAAAGCTCCATGAGCTGAACAATCTGCACTCGCTTTTTGCCATTATTTCGGCCATGCAAAGCGCCAGCATATATCGCCTGACGAAGACATGGGCTTGCCTATCGAAGAAGGATCGCCACTCCTTTGAGCGACTCAGCGATATTTTCAGCGACCAGGACAACTGGGCGAATCTGCGGTCCTACCTCGAGAGCCTGCGCCTGCCCTGCATCCCCTATCTGGGCCTCTTTCTCACCGACCTGATCTACATTGACTTGGCCCATCCGCACAAAGGCGGATTGGAACCAGAACAGCGTCGCAATAAGATGAACAATATATTGCGTGTAATCTCGAACTATCAACAGTCGGACTATAAGCATCTGCAGAAGCATGATGCTACACAGAAGTATCTTACCTCCATAAGATACATAGAGGAGTTGCAGAATATATTCGAGGAGGATCAGTACAAGTAAGGAAAACCTTTTGTTGCATACGTATATGAGAATCGAAAATCAAACGTTGTATTTAATGAGTCTTGCATACCCACTTAAATCGTCATTCAACAGAAAAGGTTATGAGAACAATTTTATTCTTGCTTCTAACAGTCACCCATTGATAGAAATCATCTAATATTCCTTAGTACATTTATTGAAAAAAAACTTTTTGAGTAACTTTTAATTTCTTGTGTGTAAAGCCATTCATTCTCAGTAAAGTTTTTCTTAATATACCGCAGAAAAAACTGTAGGTAACTCGAATATATATGACTCACAGAAATGTTTGATAAAAAGTGATTCAGCTTTTTAAAACATTTAGCTTTTAGTTGCTATAATTATGATTTTCATATCTGAAATATTTATATTATTATTTCTATTATATCATAATGTTTGCCTTACCTTTTAGGCGCTCTCTGAACCTGGAGCCTGCATCGCCCTCTGGACCCAGTTCATCGTCCTGCAGTTCTAAGGAATCCTTCAACGTGGAAGCAGTTACTCCGGCCCTGGGCTGCCTGAATCTCTCGCCGGCCAAAACCATTGGCTCCATGCGCATGGCCAGTGGTACAAAGTTTGTTCCTGGTCATCGCAAGTGTCGCAGTCTGGGCACCAAGTAAGTAAAGAGATCACTCGAAGCAGAAAGCCCCGATTTGACTTTCTTTGTTAACCACTTTTTTGAATCCACAACCTCGAATCACTGCGCATTAATTGGACATATGTACATCGGGTCCTTATTAATCGTTTGAATTTCTGTCTCTCACTTGAACCGTTTTGCTTTTGGCTTATGCTTTCATTTTGTGTGTTCGTTAATTGTCAAACATTTGCAACTGCCGAAAATGAATGAAGATTTCGCAGCAGCAGCTTGCCGCGAAACTTTGCCCAGAAGTGCCAATGCTGCATCGTGATGATTGCGCCGGGCATTGGCACCATCTCCAACAAGCGTTGCAGATGCCGTCGGTGAGTCCAGAACAGAGTCCAGTAGGTAGGATATGTGTAATGCCAGCCTGTAACCGAAATTGACACTCAATTCTGATCGGATGCGCTACTCTCATTTTACATTCGATGTGTTCAGTTTTTGCCTCCTCATTTTTCTTTTCTGCACGGACCCGACTTGAAATTGCTTCGTATGAAATACACCGAAAACACGCCTCACGCTTGCCTCATTTCATTTCGTTTGGACTCGGGAAATTTTCCGATTATTACAATAAGCACACACACTTTCCGAGTACATACAAACATTTAAAAAAAGGTATTGTCGGTGGTTATATAATTGAAGAATTTCTTAATTATTAAAAAATAATTAATATGATTTTTTTGTTGATATGTTTAATTTTTTAAGTTAGAGAAAGTTTCTTAGTCCTTCATATATTATTTGTTGCAATCGACAAAACCTTTCACACAAAACGCAGTTCATTCTTATTTGCCTCGTCGCAATTCCATTTGTTTGAACAGCATGAATGAATTTCCCGCTCAAAATACAGTTCACTAATCCGTGTTGTTCCCTTTCAGCATTTTCGGCAAGATCGCGCCACACAATCACGGCGATGGACATCCACACCACCTGCACCTGGAACTGGATCCCAGCCAAGTGCAGCCTCGCCACCATCTGCTGGATGATTCGGTCTTGGAGCACAGCGACGCCTTGTCCCAAGCGGACCTAACCTCCCTGGAGAGTGCCGAGGGAATTATGTGTGATTTTGGCGGAAGCGATTGCGATTTGATGTCTCCGGAGGCAGCAGCCGCCATGCAGGGATGTGTCCGACGGAAAACGGTCCAGAAGGAGGGAAGGAAGCCAGCGGTGGCCTCCTGGCAGCGGTACTGGCTGCAGATCTGGGCCAACTCGCTGGTGTATTTCCCACCAAAGTCCTTTAAGGGCAGCGAAAGGAGCGACTTTAAAAGGGAACCGTGCAAAGTGTGTCCACTGGATGGATGGTATGCCCATGTCAGCGATAATACCAAGCACAAGAACACCTTTGAGCTGTGCCACCGAACCCTGGGCACCGTCTATCGCTTTCGGACGGACAGTCCCCAGATGACGCACCTCTGGTCGAATGCCATTTGCAAACTGGCCACCATGCGGGTGCCCAAACCTCTGCCCACCAATCTAATGTCCTTCGAATGAGCTGGGCCCTTAGAAATCACAGGAACTCGAATATATTGTACTCATCGTAGCATAGTATACCTAGTTTAGTTAGCTTTATCCCTTGAAACGTGCACAGCCAAAAAAAACACCCCCACCAAACCACTCACTCACTCCCTGGAACGAGGCAACCACAGAACATTCCCACAACCACAACGAACGAACAAATTGCAGCCTGCATCTAGATGAATCGATTTCAAAATGGTATTTCAAAAGACTGACACCGAAGGAGAACACGAAGATAAAGTAGAGGAGGAGCAGTACCAGAAAAGTAGCCACACAATCGCAAAGCAACAGACTAATCCGACAACGCAGGGGAATTAAAGTCCCAAATATGTAACGGCCCTGTTCTCAAAGTTGAATTTTATTTCAATTTGCGGAAACGGAATTGAGAAAATATCACGTCATTGAATAAACATTGTTTTCAATGACCCAGAACTTAAAAATTCGTTTAAAGTTCTTTAATTTTGAAGTTCTTCAACCATTTTAATTCCGAATTCGCTTAACTTTGTAACAGGGCTGTCTCTTTGTTAATGTGCTGTCCTTGCTGTATTTTGTATTTGTAAAATTTAATATTAAGTAAATTACTTGGACATTTACTCAACTTAATTTCGCGCTAATCGTGCCATATTAGTTCTAAATTTGTGTTCAACGATTGTTGGCCAGCAAACGAATCCGAATTCGATTTGCCCAACTCCTAACTTTGTAACAAAGAATCAAAAATCAAACGAACTTTCTACCCGTAACTGAGGGCTTTAATATTGTATCGCTACCACTATCATGATCGACATCCGTTAATCTGTATATCTGCCTTAAGTTGATGCACTATTCATACTCACATAGAGCTAAAAATACATAAATACGTATCCCACAAATTGTATGCGTGAATTGTAGGAAAGGAAAGTAATGTTAGTGTTTCTGTTTTTTTCTTTCTGTCGCGACGGCCTAATGAATTGTAACTCCTAAGCTTTGTCACACATACAGATTATCATTTGCAGCGTTTTTACAGTAGTTTAAGAAAGAAATGCAACAAAAACAAAATAAACCACAAAAGGAAAGAAAGAAATGTGTGTTATATAAGGCATCTAGGGTTATTTACAAGCAAATCAGATCGTGCAAAGTGCGGGAATTTGCAATTCATTTGCACAGTCGCACTGAATCACAATTAGGGAGCTCGGCTTGCCGTCAAACGGGAGGGCTTTAAAACGTGAAGATCGGTTAATGGCGCCGCCAGTCGATTGCGAAACATGAAAGCGGCGAAAAGTGGCGACAGGATGGCGTATCCATGGATTAAACTGAAACCCCTGCTGATGCTGGCAGCATTAATGTTCATTTTCTTCAGCTGCTGTCTAGCGGGAAAGACGACCACCATGTGAGAGGATTACGCAACTATCCAGCCACTAGACCACTTTCACTAATCCATCCTCCTTTCTCCCTTTCCAAAACCCAGCGTCAGCCACACAGACACCCTGGATCCGCAGGCCGACGGCTTCTGGGCCAACAAGACCACTTGGAACGCGCGGTGGGTGAAGTACTGGCGGGCCAAGAAGATCTACGAGCCGGTGTGGAAGAAGGTCTGGACACCGACCATCCACAACGAGTGGGTGCCCCTGCCCAACGCCCCCAACGAGTGGGAGGCGGAGAAGGGCCATTCGTACAAATGACGCAGAGACTGACTCGTAGGCTAAGAGTATTTATTTTGTAGTTATTTATCTTTTATTTCGTATTCACTGGTAATTAAAGTCTAGAGATAATTTAAAGTGGCGCCAAGGCAAATGGAAGTGGAATGGATGGCCTTACGAGCTAGCGACTGGTTTACTACTATTTACAAGGAGCTTGGAACCGGGCGTTGTGATGCAACCGTTTCGGTGATGCAATGGCCCCCTACGCGCCGGGAAACTTGAATGACTGCGAGGTGGCTGCCACCGAGGCGGCGGGAGCAGCGACGGGGGATTTGGCCGTCTCCAGGGACTTGGCTTGGAAGTCGGCGCTGGCCACTGGCTGCAGCAGAGTTGGCTTGCCGGCGGCGTTGGTGTCATCTCGTTTCCACACCACCTTATCCTTGCCATCGGCCGACTTGGTGGCCGTCACGCCCGTGTCCTTGCGATCCCAATCGAAGCCGTGCTCGTGATGATGGTCGTGGTGGTGATCGGGCGAGGGGAACCACTCGGAAATGACCACTGGCTTCCAGATCTTCTTCCAGCCGGGAACCCAGATCTCCTTCCAGCCGGGCACCCAAATCTGCTTCCATGCCTCCTTCCATTCCTAAAAGAAAGTTATTCGAAATTTAGTTTTTGTATAGGCATGGAGATCAGATTAAACTTACCAATTTGTCAGTCCAGATTTCCTTCTTGGCTGGCTTCCAGTACTGCTTCCATCCCTCCTTCCATTCCAGCTTCTTCTCGGGCACCCAGATTTGCTTCTTGGCCGGCTTCCAGATCTTCTTCCAGTGCGACTTCCAGACCACTTTCTATAAGTTTTAAAATATAAAGTGTTTAGAAGGCATGGAGTTATTATAATGATTTTGCATAACTAACCTTCTTCCACAAATCGTGGCTGGTGTACTCCCAGCCCTCGTGATCCTTGCCCAGATATTTCTCTCCGGGAATGCCAACCTATAAATCAAAAAGGATTTGAAACACATGCACTAAAACCATAAGCAAGATTTATACCTTGACTAATTCTGGTGTCCAAATCTGCTTGTAATCGGGTACTTGAATGTCCTTCCAGGCGGGCACTAAAATCTCTTTCCAGTGGGGAACCTAAATTGATTATGAAAAGTTTGAGTACACTCCCATTAATGGTAACTAGAAAACCTACCCAAATTTGCTTCCAAGCGGGAACCTGAATCTCCTTCCAGCCGGGTACTTTTACCCAATGAGGCTTCCAGATCTGTGATGAAAGATAGCAGGTTAATATATGTAGTTTCATGTTTTTAATAAATTAAAAAAACCTAACTTAATTATAATAGTTTGAAATCAAGTACAAAGATTTTTAAATATTTTAATGACAATTAATATTTATTATTAGGTAATTTCTTCGAGTAATCACAGTATAAATATATATATATATTTTCCCATTAAAACTTTCACTGTTTTATAGTTTCCCTTTTATTTACCTTCTTCCACGACGGATTCCAGATTTGTTTCTTAGCCGGATTCCAGATCTTCTTCCATCCCTCCTTCCAGGTGACCTTCTTCTTCCAGTACCCGGGGTCATGGTGCTCGTGATGGTGTTCGTGATGTTCGACAATGTGCTCGTGGTGATGGTCGTGGATCAGGGCATCGCCCAGTCCCAATCCCAGATCGATCCTCTGCTGGGCAACACTTTTGCTGTCCACCTGGGAAGCGGCAGGCTGCTGATCCACCACAGCCTTGGATTGACTGCCTCCGATGGCCAAACAGAGCACACCGAGCAGACCCAACTGGAACAAAAAGTGGGGAGTTGTAGTTACCATCCAAACATCCAAAAGATACAAATCAAAAGACTGAGACAGCAAGCTCGGGCATGAAGAAAGCTTGTACAAATTGAATTCGCAACGATCATGTTAATGAATTCCATATTCTCCAAAGAAAGGTGAGTGACTGAAAACAAGTTTTAAGTGGGTCACAGTCTGGCATTGTTTCGGGGGACCGACAGAGAAATGTTGCATAATCCGCTGTTGTTTATAATTTCATACAATGCCTGACCTGGGTCAAGAGAGCTAGTTGATGACAAATTATGCCAGGCCAAAGCCCTTTCGGGTCTGGCCCCTCTTTATTTGGTCAATTTGTTTTATTATGTAAATAGGTTTTCGTATTGTTAAGATAAATATGGATCTGCTGGATAAATGACGCAAGTCAGCTCTGCATTTGGAGAATCCAACAAGGTCAGAGGAACGCCTTCGTGATTTCGCAAAATTAGCCCGATTTGTGAGTACAATTTCAAAAGCCCACAACCTAATCCCAATCAATTTGCGCATAAATGTCAACGAGGCCCGGCCGATTATGAAATGGAAATTAGCGCCAGCAAAAATTATCTCATCGGATAGTGCTAATTGTAGCAGATCGATCGGATCGTGTCAGCTTCCTCACTTTGGGTGGGCAGTGAAAGCTACGCAGACTGGTTTCGCCTGCAGTTGGATCATCGGTCGTGAGGGAAAAGAGCTGGCGACTCCGCACTGCACCCCACGGACATATGGATATTTCCCCCGGTCGCTAATGAAACGATCGCGATTTTAATTGTTGACAATGCGGCGCAAGTCGGAAGGGAATCGGCGGGCAGTCATGGGGCCCATAAAACTAATGAAAAATGCATGGATCGTGCTGTTGACAAACGCAGACCGACAGGAAGAAAGTGATTTTCCTGCTTAGGTGTATATTTCCTTAAATAAAATATTTAAAATATGTTTGCTAAAAACAAGCCAAAAACTGATAAAACGCGCTAACAAAAAAATAAAAAATTATTAAGTGAATTTTAAGGTTTAGCAATTTTTGCAATATAGTCCAAAGTTGCTAATTTAATATTCGGTAACTGAATCTTTCGGCCGAAATTTAGAAAAGTATTTTTGTTTCCTAAGTTTTTGATCTATTTTTAAAGACCTATTTTCTTATTAATAGTATTAATTAAAAAAAAAATCAATTTGATTCTCCTATGTTTTCTTGTATTATACATCTTAGTTATATATCTTATAGTTATCAAATATGTAATCTTCTGTCATATTTTAATAATAAATACCTGCTTTATGATTACTTAATAATTCCAAAAGAAATAACCAAATCACCTTGCGAACTCAAGGTATTGCAATTTTCTCAGAGAAATTCACTGAAGCGTACATCCCCTAAATGTATTGCTACACCAACTTTGCAAGCCTATGCAAATATAACCAAATAATTTCCAACTTTGGGCTGAGTACACCATTAGTTCCACTTGTGCAGCCGCAACCCCAATTCGATGTCAATTTCCATTTCGCGACACTTTTTCACACTTTTCAAAAGTTTTTTTCTTGTAATTACCACAAAATGCCGCTGGATCCTCATGGCTCCCGATTACAGCTGGTGAAACGCTTAATTTAAGGCACTATCTGAATATGCACTGTTTGGCGGTCTCTTTGAAATATATCACTTTGAGCCACTTGGGGATGGGCTGTTACCACCACTTTGGCCACTTTCGTGGAATCGACTGTCGAGCTGAAGATCGGGCACCTACGGTTAAATACACACCGCGCAGGTGCAGCCGGCGAAATGAGAGTGATACTTCTCCGTCTCCAGCTCTCTTTCTGTCTCCAGTGAAAATGAGAGTTAAGACCCAGCCAGACCTTGAATTTTGATAACGGTTTCGTGTGTAAACAATGACGAAGCTTTTGCTCGCAAAGCTTCGAGCCGGCTTGCCTCTTTAGCTCTCTGCCCAAACCGCTCTTTCTCCATGCGGCCCACTCTTTTGGCCATTTTCAATACCTGGAGACGTGACTTGGTCTGCAGGCTGCTCCAAATGTTGTAATCGCCCCAAAAGCTTATGGCCATAAATGCCATAAATCCCGATAAAGAAAAAAGTTCAAAATCAACGACTACATTTGGGCAATGCAAATTAATAGCACGCAATGGAAAATCAACGAAACAAACAAACCAAAAAATTAAGTCCAAGCCTATTGCGTTTGTCTTCGGTTTTTTGTGATTATTGTTTTTTGGGAATTCTTATTGTTCAATCGCCCAGAAATCGAAGGTCGTCACGTCTCCGTTTTGATATGCCCAGTGGTGTCGCATTAATTAGATGGTTTTTAATGTAATTTATTGTCCATCGCGGTCCCAACTCGGTTAAGGGCAATGCTCGTGGACGTGTCTATGGCTTAGATCCCCATAAAACCGTTGCATTTTTGCATGTGCAGGCCAGCTATGTGGTAACACTTTAAACTTTAAATACAACAGCAATAATTTTTCATTTCATTTTCCGTTTCATTTCCTGCCACATTTTCAATGGGATCCGCAAAAGCAAGACATGCGGAATACCGCTCTTTAAATGGTTCGATTCATTTGGCCAAAAGCAAGTTAATTGCATGTTGATTTAATTTCGAATGAATGAGCAGCGGATAGCTCACCTGTTGGCCAGCTTATGGAGTTCCAGGTGCGTGCATGTACCTGGTCTGGTTCCGTTTCACTTAGTGGGAAGTAATCAGTTGCATAACCCGTGTGGCTCTATGAGTAGCAACGTTAACCACAATTCATCTCTCAGAGTTCTCCACTCGCCAGGACTTTCACCTCGGCCTTTCTCCCTTAATAGCTGTCCATCATTTTCCGCCATTGACAGCTAGTTCCACCCTCCGTACAAGGAAGTGCCAAACATGATTCACACACCAGCAGCCAAAATGCAATCATATTAATATTCATCAATTTCAGATACACATAGAGGGGCCTGTGTGTCCCCTTTCAGGAAGTGGAGCCACAAAACTGGACTGAAATGCGTAACAACTTGCCCATGGCCATGCGTTCGGTTTAGACCAAGTCCTCCGCCTCCTCATCGCCACTGCAAACTCTATCCACAAACTCCAGACGGTGTTGAACCACTTTTACTTTGGCTAACAGCGTGATGTGGAGTTTTATTTATTTATTTATGCCTTTCATGATTATTCATCTTATCGTCGGCGGTAATCGGTCAATATATGCGGAGCTATAAGGGTATGTTGTTGTTATTTACACGGGGAAAAACGAAGGACCATTTGTAAATTGGGAAATTTAATTTTCAACAGTTTTGATAAAAATGTATAATTATGTCGATGTGTTTCCCTTTATCAATCTATCAATTTAAAGGAAAAACAAAATTATACCTGCAGATCTTATCAAATAAATACTTTAATAAGGTTCGAATATTTTTTTATTTTTTATTAAATTATTTTTTTAAAATATTTTAACAATTTAAGACATTTCTCGCCGTGCCCCGCCATCTGCAATTGTTTCCGGCATGAAAATTAGAGCAACATTTGGCATGCATTTCCTACCTCTGGCGGCGCTGCGTTGGCTGATTTGAATTGCCAAAACGATTGCCAAGCGATCGCAGATTGTCAGCCTGCCTCGGAATGGAATGGGAGTGGGTGTGGGCTGCATAACTCTGCCAGCCCCCAAGAGGAGAAGGGGCGTGGCTGCCGCCCACACTGTCACATTGGCCAGGCAATCACACTTGATCGCACACATGCCAATGAACTGACACCTTTTTTTTATTGTGGTCCTTTTACTTCCGATTGAGTTCGGCTTCCTGCTTGTCCACCGAAAAATAAGCAAATGCCGCCAAGGAAGCTGGACGAACTGCTTTGACAAAATGCGTGTGCATTGCCAAGAGTCGAGATGTCGAGGTTGTCACCGCTCTTGTTACTGGCCATATATGGCGAATTTGGTACGCCAGTTTGGGCGCCTCAATCGAAAACGGTTTCCCACTTGCTACAGTTTCCGCAAAGCCTGTGGTTAGGTAAAATGCAGTTCTGGGATATCAAAAACCCATTTGATAGGGTATTTTTTTCTGAAGGTCACCTGCAATGTGTTGACACCGATTCGGGGAAAACAAAAGACTTAAGGCACGAACCTCTCATGCAACGTATGTCCATAACAAAGTAACTGCATGAGTTATGTCTTTATTATAGCGCAGTGCCATTGGCGGCGCTGCGATGTGTCATTTGCATACATAAGCAGTCGATTGGCTATTAGTTTGGTCGGCATTTCAATTCAGCGATCGCATAATGAGACGCCCTGGCGCCTTGGGTCACTTGGACAGAAACGACTTGCGGAAATGCAGGCAATGAAACTGGTTCAAACTTCGAGTTCACTGACCCAACGGAAAGAAAAAGTAAACATAAACATGGTGTGGATATCATTCCAACAACTCCACTTAGCAATAAAATTCAATATATAGGAAACTGTGTCAGATATGTTACTAAACCCAAATTTAATTAAATAATAGGTACTTGATGGCTAACATTTTTCTGTTTTAAACAGGAAAATGCTTTAAGAAGTAAAGTAACTTTATTTTACCTCCACTGAAAAAACGGTCATATATACTTAATGAAATTAACGATAAAAATTTTAAATGAACTGCGATTTTTAAATTTATTATATGCAAATTTTCAATTTAAGTTAATAAAATAAGCAAAGGATAAAAAACAATGCGAAAAATGTTTAAATAAAATATTGCGAATATGTGGGAACATGTTTTAGGCTAGGAAATATTTTTAGGAACCCCCGCTCGACAAAACAAACCACCGATGATTGCGACTAGTTGCCGGATTAGCTGCTAACTATCTGGATCAACGGAGATGGCGAGTGCCAGTAGCTGATTTACTTCACTCGGTCAGCTGCAGTCACGCTTGCCAATTGACTGGGACATGCAAACGACTGGCCAACGCTGATTGCATAATTGTACAACTTTCTGGCGTTGGCGGTGGCGTTACAGACGGCGGTGCTCAAAACTCCGAACACCACATGTGCCAATCAATTTTGTTTCCGTTCATCTGGCCAGCTTTCCAGTTTTTCACCTGGCGATATATGAAAATTCACTTGCCAGTTGGAGGGTTCAAGGAGGCGTCTAGCTCCGGAAAATCCGGTTGAGCTTTCTTTGTTGCGTCACAGGGTTCCATCTATCAATCAATCACAAGAAAATAGAGTAGCAAAAAAAAGATGATCAATAAGAGATGAAAAAAGGTTTAATTTCACATATACCACCTAGAATTAAGAAAAATTGTGGATCTGGGCTACTAAAGGTTTTCTCACTATTAAGCCGCAAAAAGTGCCTAAAATCGAAAATTTGGAACTTTGACCACGGATTTCTAAAAACTTCGACGTGATGGAAAGTTTCCAAGTATAAGGTAGTAATCTACAGCTAAAATTCTTTCAGGTTTTGTAGCGTTTATTCTTGGGCCAAGAAAAAGTCTTGATTTTGTCGACCTGTGTTATAGGCGAACGGATAAATTATTTAAAACAATGGTAACTACACACACTCAGAAAATGAATCGCCCTGAATTTTAGAAAATCGCCTATGGATTTGCTTCACTGGCGATTTTTTTCTTTAAAATAAAAAAATTTTCTACTGGTAAAGAAAATTTTCTTCCAATTAATCAAAATTCATTAAATTCAAGAAATATTCCAGAAATATAGAAAAAAATCGCCAGTAAAGCAAATCCATAGGCGATTTTCTAAAATTTTTTTTTGAGTGCAGAGAAAAAAAAGACCAAAACTAGTTATCATTAGGGTATTTTTTCATATCAATTTTGGTCCCATCTGTGTTCATTAGGGCGGTCCAAAATATGAAATTCTATTCTCTATTATCAGAATATGTGGCCATTGGTTGTATACAGAGGCTTTTATCTAATATTTGAAAAAAAGCATTCTCTAGGGCAAAACCAAATATAATTATATTATTCAAATTTTTAAATTGTGACGCCATCCATTCTTCCTACTGGTGTGGCATACTTCCGTCTTTTAATTTCTATCTGGCAAGGCCTCTGAAGGGCGAAGGTGCCGTCATATTGACGAATGTTTTTTCTCCCAGCGAAAATTCACAGTCTACATGGCGAATGACATTTTACATCAATTTTACAACTTAGTTTCAAGCGTCTTGTGTATCTAAGACGGAAACCAAATGTACACTTTCAAAATCTCAATGATATACGTATGCAGTAGGGTGGGACGATTTGAAAGGTGCTAAGAAAAGTGAGAAATATTTTATATTTAATGTAATTGGATCAATATTGCCGAAAATTATTGGTCGAAAGAATACCGGGACTAATACCTATAAAAAGAGCAATCCGGTCTTAAAAAAAAAATTTAAAAAAAAATTTTTTTTTGTAGATTAACATCTTAGGCTCAGATGACACATTTAATTTTTAGCGTCAATTTATTGTGACAATTTTTCATTTGTGTGAGTTTAAAGAAGTGCAAGCGGGTCTGGATTAATATGATATCGCGCCTTTATTACACCCGTTTACAAAAAAAAAATCTATGAAATATACCATGAATAAAACCTTTGTTTTCCGGTAAGGTACGTCTTCATGATTAAGAAAATGGCACTTAAAATTTTTTTTATGGATAACATTTTTTTAGTGTAAAAAACCTTTTTGACACTTTTTTAATTTCTAACTTGAGTTGTGGTTTCAACCATAAATGACTCATTTTACAGGTAATAGAATGCCCTCCAACTTTCTGATACACTGCATTGAGCTCT